AAAAAAAAAAAAAAAAAGTTACATAGAAAAGCTTTTCCCACCAAGTCCTCAAAAACCAAGAAAATGTGAACATATGGGTGAAAAATGAAAAACCAATTCCATGAGAAATTTGGGTTATCAAACATGTAAAAAAAGTGAAAAATGAAATTTAATTTCCATCTTTCATGAAATTGAAGTACAATGAAACAGGGCATCAATTTAACCGGTCATTTATTTCCAGTTATTATCATCATTTGGAAATACTAATACCTCACTCTGGATCCGGTGAAATCATAATTTATTTTAATTTAGCCCCCGTTTCATTCCCTTTACTCTACTTTAACTTAATTTATTTATCGTTCATTTTCAACTACACACATACACTTACACAATAAAATATTTTATGCGTAAATTTAAAAAAAATTTCTATTTTTTATTCACACATCTTCCAAAAATACTATTCAAAACATAGTGTTTTTTTTTTTTTTTTAAATTAAAGGCCACCAAACTGGGGCTTAATGTCATCAATTAATAATATTGGTAGAAGAATAGCGACAAAGAGGTAGAAGCATGTCATTGTTGTTAAACCATTCAAGTAGTAATCAATAATCATTAGCATTGGTTCTTTAGATCTTTATCGTTTGTACGTCATTTTGATCTTGAAAGTTCGGGTATATTTTGAGTATTGTAAACAGTTTTTGATCTATACAAATTTTAAAAAAAAAATCCACACTTGCAATATTCGTGCAGTACAGCACACACATCGAATCACCTCATTTAAATTGTCAATATTACTATAGAATAACAATTATCTTCAGTATTGTAACATGTTCATTCTTCAACATGTTTACACACAGGTTCGAAAAACTTTTCAATCAAGACAACACGTAAAAATTGTAAGTGTTATACTCTAGGTTCAATCAACTTTGGATATAAACACTTTAAATATATATAATTGATACATGTATGTCAATATCTATTATTTAATTGAATTAATATTCTAATAAATTAAATAATAGAATTCGTAGATTCAAGTTTTGGTGATTTGTTAATCACAAGGAGTTGTGATTATGAGATACAAATTACAAATGATCGAATCTTAAATCGTCCGTGGTCGAAGTAATAACGAGATACGGATATCGTTATTACGGATAGATCTTCGCGTGTGACATTCTTACTTGTGAAGTAAGTAACTGATCTCACAAGTTAAAGTGTGGTGACACTTGAATGAACACGTGGATGTTTTGTTATAGAACAAAACATTGGAGACCCACTGGGAGATTCCACATTGATAGCTATTTGAGTGTTAGTGGTTAATCTCTAACGTTCGGTAGTGGAATTGGTCATTTGACTTGAGGTCGTCATAATACCTTATATGAGGACAGTCATACTTTGATGGTATTGGATGTTACTCTGCCATGGGTCGCTAATACAGCATTATTCGAGTATGTCAAGAATCATATGAAGGTTGTGAATGATTAATAGAGGATTCGTCGCTCTTGGATAGTAAGAGATTATGATCTACATTTTATCCAGTTAAGTTAATAATGAAATCCTTGGCCAATGTGAACTCATAAGTTGAAAAGAGTTTTTGACTTACATTGCCTTAACACTAGAATAAAAGATATGATCGATAATTGAAATTGATACGTATCCATATCTCATTATTGATTGAATCATATTGACGAAAGGATTATAATTTCACGGTAAACGAACAAGTTTTGGTTTGTCACATCACGTGACATTTCTCATCACATGTATTGCCCCGACACATTGTTAGATGTCAATTTGGGACGACGAATGTGAATTAGTGATAAATTAAAAGGGGTGTTTTAATTTATCGATTTTGATTAGATCAAAATAATAATTCACATCGTTAGGCATTGTGATCGGGAACCTAATGGGTCACACACAAAAGAGAACCAGAAGAATGAAATTTACTGATTAATTAATTGACAAGTGTTGGACAATCAATTAATTGAGTTGCTTATTAATAGGCCTGAATTAATTAATTGGATTAATTAATTCATGGACCAAATTTAATTAATTTGATTAATTAAATATCGGATCAGGTAAAATTTAGAGATGGGCCGGCCCACTTGGGCTTATATTAATAGGTTGTTAGGGTTTCTTCATTCTTGTTCTCTGTGTGGATCACCATTGGAGGTTGGACAATTGTACAGTTTGAATTGCAGATCGTGATCATTGGAATTCGAGAATTAGCAAATGAGTTTACAGAATTCATCAAAGGTATTATCCCCATCACAGTTTCTATCAAAACATAAAGCAGATCTTTGGTGGGAATTGAAAATTGTTTTATTTCCGCTGTTCATAATTAAGTAAATTCCCAACAAAAATTTCATAAATTAGCAGAGCATGATCCATGACATCAAAATGCAATACCATGGACGGGTCTAGAATTTTCGTGTTGTGGGGTCAAAATTTAAATGCAATTTTTTAAAAAACAATATATTATTAATGAAAATAAGTTAATATCCGTCTTGATACTTTGAAAACGTCGTATAATTATATTATTGTCAAATGAATTTTGCTACTCGTATAATTTTGTTTACCATCTCGTTGGCAAATACTGAGTTGGCAACGAGTAATTTAAATTGAATGTATCGTACAAAAATAATAAATGTTAATGAAATAATTGAAATCTTTTAAAGAAAAAATAAGTCGGACGCATCTTTTTGAGACGTACGTTTGATGTATGTTTAACTATTTTCGATATTCGTTTGAACCATTCAATATGATTACGATATTGTTCTCGAAACGAGCTTCTAGATGACGTAGGTGATTTGTGAATTCGGCTAGCATACAATTGTCGGAAATTTTTAAAGTTAGCAAATTATCGAAATGCTAATTTGAAACGGCCAACTTGGATGCACCGTAACTTTTGCTACAGTTAGTCATTTCGCACACCATTAACGAGTAAAACACTAAACCATGAGCAATTCAAAATGATATTAAAAATACAATGTTTCGACTTTATTTGACATCGGTGATGAGTGTGTCAAAGTAGGCCGTAAAAGGGCATTCACAAGTTTTTTCACATAATATATAAATTTCAGAATTACTGTATCTTGTTGTAAAAGCTCAAAACAACTATGGATTTGTTGGAGAAAAAAAAAATCAAAAAACTTTGTGGGGTCATGTGGGGTGGGTCCGTCCGTGTGCAATAACACGTCCCACAGAACTTCATAAAGGCAAATCACCCCAAACTTTAATGCTATCGGCTGGTAATACACCATGGAAGCATTTCATTGCTGTTAAATCACTTACAATACTTATCGTCACTTGGCAAACATATGTTCAAACTTCAATTGGGCCACTTAGTGATGGCAATGGGGCAGGTTTGGGGCGAGGCACCCTCGCCCCGCCCCCCTCCCCGCTCCGTACCCCGCCCCGTCTTAGACGGGGGCGGGGCAGGGCTCGAGGCGGGATGGGGCGGGTACGGGGCGAGGACTTGTCCCGTTTCCTGCCCCATTTTTTTTTAATTTAAAATACACATTCAAAATTTTAAAATTCAAAGTAAATAATATTCAAACTAACTATATCAATATTCAAAACAAACACTTGAAACAAAAAAAACATTTAAAACAAATAATGTCCAAAACAATTTTTTNGGGTTTTTTTGCCCCATTCGGGACGGGGAAAATTGCTATCTCTAGGGCCACTCGCACACCTTAACCTTGATTGGGCTAACTCACAAATCCAAAACTTAATTGCGCCAGTCCATAAACCCCAAACTTTTAAGCCCTTTTGACACAAATTATCTAGGAAAGATTTCATAACTAAGATATTTAATTTTATCAATTTCAAATTTAAGAAATTATATTTAAAATTTCAGAGTTTTTTAAATTTTATTTATAAATTAATTAATTAAACATATTTTATTAATTAAATATATTAAGGTCACAATTTCATATAATTTTATCACAAATTCTATACAATTGGTCACAAATCACAATTTTTATGTTACAAATTATTTTACGGTCACAATTTAATTTGTTCGTCAATCACAAATCAAAAATTTATACGTCACAATTTATTCATCGATCACAAATCTATCAAATTAATAATCACATATTATTTATTGGTCACAAATCACAAATTTTATAAGTCACAACTTATTTTATGGTCCAAAATATCAAATTAAAGATCACAATTTATCAAATTATTGATCAAAAATTAACGAACTTTTAAGTCATAATATTTATTGGTCACATATTATTTATTGGTCACAATCAACCAAATTATTTGTGACCACCACCAACACAACACAACACAACACCGCCGCCGCCAACACCACCAACGCCGTCAACAACTTATCACATAATCACAAATTTTCAAATTAACGGTACAAATTATCCACCACCAACGCTGTCAACAGTATTAGATCAACCATCATACCACCTCACCAATGGCCAGAATGCACCACCATCACTCCCAACAAAAAAACACCCGGATGCGTAAACACACTCCCAAAAAAACACCACAACAGATCTACCCATACCAACACAACCACAATGATCCACCCGCACCAATACAACCTAGCCGAAAAACCACCGCAGCAATGCTCATCGCCGGAAACCACAAGCGACAAACATCTCCGGCGCTCACCACAAGCTACAAATCACAACCCGCAATATTGGTTTGACATTGTAGATCAACATAGCCCCCGCGTTGGCGTTGCGCATATCGAGATGCGGTGCTACGGAGTGATGGGCTGTAGCAGCGTCTTCGCAGCGGCGTTGCTGCTTCAGAATGACGCCACTCGATGGTGGTGTCTTGAGCGTAATGGTAGTATCTTTGCAACTGTCGTTAAGATGATTGTGGCGCTTCACAATGGCGGCGTCATTTTCGTGAGACGAGCAGATCAGTGCAGCGACGAGGGAGAGAGTGATGTGTGAGAAAGATAGAAACGATGGATAGAGAGAAAGAGGGGGGATGCATGAGAGAGAGAGAGAGAGATGAGAGAGGAGAATAATTATGGATTGTGGTGAATTTTGGTAGTATTAATAATATTGAATATTTGAATTAGTATCTGATTTTTGTGTAAATAAATTTTATTTCTAATTTTTGAAATTGCATTTTAAAAATTCTGGTATAATGTAATTACCACAATTATCTATTCCATTTGGGTCAAAGTTAACATCACCATTTGACATCACTTTCTCCAAATCCAAATGAAACTTGACCACTTTTTACACGCACACAGATAAAGACCCAACTCAAAAATATCAAATCATAAACTTCCGAGTTGAACAAGTAAATTCTGCATTGACTATTTTCATTTCATACTTGGCCTAGTTTGAGCCACATTATTTTTTTATTATCATTTTTCTATTCATTTTTAATCACATATTTTTCAATAAAATAATATTTTCTATCATATCAATAACTTTCCTTTTTTTTCAACCACACGTTTCTCATCATATCAACAGTAAAAAACGTTCTTTTTTAAAAAATGTGCACCAAACGGGGCTTAATATCCCCAGCAGCCCCGCCTAGTTCATTCACCTTGTCACCTAAAACACCCACTTTCTCAGCCCCATTTTCGTCATTTCAAAAGGTCCGCGTCAAACATGAATTCTTTTATCTCATAATCACTCACCAGAAACGAAACCCTCAAGAAACTTCCCTAGTTCCACTATTCTTCATATATATATTCTCAATTTTATCCATTTTCTTGCTCATTCTTGAAAACCCTTTTCAATTTGCTGAAAATCTTTGAAGTATATATTCTGGGTTTTGTGAATTTTGGGTTGAAATGAGTAATAATATTGATCCTGGTATGCAGATTGAAGCTTCGCCGGAAAAAGACTATGCTTTGAGGGGCAAAATCATGCTGACTGCGATAGTTATATTGTTTGCGGTGGTGATTTTCATGACTTTTCTTCATCTTTATGCCAGATGGTACTTGCTTCGCTTGCGTCGCCGTCAACAGAGCCGCCAGCGCCAGCGCCGCCGCACTCATATTGTCTTCTATGTTGATAACAACCAACCTAACTCCGCTGCCGATCATGGGCTGGAGGCGGAGGTGTTGAATTCAGTACCGATGTTTGCTTACTCCTCCAAGACTCACCCGGAGGTGCTAGAATGCGCCGTGTGCTTATCGGAGTTTGAGGAGAACGAGACTGGCCGGTTTTTACCCAAATGTAAACATTCTTTTCATACAGAGTGCATTGATATGTGGTTCCGTTCACATTCTACGTGCCCACTCTGCCGGTCACCGGTGGAACAGGTCGCCGAACCCGAGAAAGTCCGGGCCGAAATTGCCATCAACGTAAACGAACCGGGTTCAAGCTCCGGTAACAATACGATGTCGTCGGGGGATCGGAGGAAGGGGTTGGACCTGGTATCTATAGAGGTACCAAGAAGAACCGAGTTCGATGAGGAGTTACCACTGAGTTCACCCGGATTCAGGTCTCCGGGATCTCGGTTGTTGTCCATTAAAAGATTCCTCAGCATGAACAGAAAATCTCCCAAGGGGACGCCGTGTGGGGCCGGGACGAGCTCTGGGCCGCTGGGAGCCACCGAGATGGACTTGGAAAGTGGTAGGGATGAATTGACGACTCAGGAGTCAACTCGAACACATAGTCCAAGGTCGTTAGCGAGTCGGCTTATCCAAGAAAAAGAGTAACGTGTCATAGGAATGAAACGACGTGAAATTTCGTGGAAAACGCCATTCGACGAATATCAGAATTTTTGTGGTTCTAGGATTGTATATTATTCCCACCTCAACGCTGTCGTTTGTTGACTTCAAATTCGTATCCATTTTATTTTATTCTTTTATTACAACTTCTCCCCACAATTTTATCATATCTCATTTTTTGTATTGATTAATGATAAATAAAACATCCTCGACCACGAAGTCTTATTCTAAAAATAAATTTAGGATCGATTAAAGATTCATTGGTGTAGAAGCATAGAGCTCGAAAACAACTATGAATAACAAATTTAATTTTCAGAATCATCTTTGATTGTGCTTAAAAGAAGTATGTTACGTTCTATATGCTTCTTTGAAAAAATAAGAGTAAATTTTTAGCAATTACATGTAAAAAATTAAAAAATGTTACTTCTTGTTTTCATAATCTTATTTAATTAAATGGGAATAGAGATGTGAAGTTTGCTTCCCATGTGCAACATAATGAAAGGGCTGATGACTTAACTCTCTATATTGGAAGTAGGAAAGTTAATTCAATAGTTGCACATAATTCCAATTTTTTTTTTGCAATAACCTCTCGTATCTTGACTTTTAGCCCTTGTTTGTTTCTCATTTTTTCAAAATACATTTTTCTGTCTCTTATTTTCAACCACACATTTTTTAATAAAATAATATTACACGTAAATTCAAAAAAAATTCTTATTTTTTAACCACACATTCTCCATCAAATCATTATTTCAATATGCATTTTTGGCTAAAATGAGGCTCAAACAAGCTCTTAATGTATATACCAGTATTCTAAAAAGAGTAAACTATGACTAGATTTAAAGGCCAAACTTAAAGCTTTACGAGCCTATGTGAGTCCTAGGCCGAAAAAAAATGTTTTCTTATTTTAAAATTATTTAAAATATCTAATTCTTCTAAAAATTATTTAATAATTACAGTAATACATATCAAACATCTAAAATTATATAATACTATATTTATTTAATAATTTCTACAATTAATTAATTATATAATTTTCAACTTTTCGAAATGCAAAAGTTTACTATTTTTCATAGTTTCAATTTTCAATTAGACAACTCCTACTTGCAATTTTCTAATGTGTTTTTATTTCTTACCTTCGTATAGATCAAGTCATTTAAAATTTTGAAATTAAATCAAATAAAAGGCTTTTAAAAAAAGAAAAATAATTAATAAAGTGCCTAGTGGCGCTCATGGCCAAGATGTGAAGTTTCATCGGAGTTTCGTGCCTAGATGACATCTTGGCAATGCTTACGCGGACTTTTTAGAACACTAATATATACCCAATAACAGTTGTCATGTTAAAGCATATATCAACAAAGAAAAAAGAACATCAACTTAGACTACGACCTGAGTAGCATGGGACAAGTGAATAGACAGAGATCATCTGCTGATCTGCAAAGACAAAAGTAGTATCACAAGTCACAGTGAGAAATACCGTCAGTCCGTCATCAAGAAGTGAAATGGAACATTAAACCACAAGTTCCCAAGTAGAAAATTGGAGGATTTTTTATACAATCGACTATCTATTTAAATTTCTTTCTCCTTATATAAATAATTCAATGAAAATGCAATCTACTAAAAAAAATGTTACAATCCTCTGGCTATGGTACTATCCAACTAAAAAGTTTTGGACAAACAAATGTTACAGGCATCAATAGCCATTTGGTTACTAGTATCTTAGAAGTTAGAACTACAATGGTTGAGTAAGACATTAAACATAACATAGTCGCTAACTGCTTTTGGTCCCAAATTTTTGGGTTCGAGCCATTAGACACTACCTTAGTGATACAAGGGAATCATGGCATACACCTCGCCAACCAGGCTGTGTTACCCTGCTGCATGCAAGTATAAAGGGGCTATAAATCGTGATTTCCGTCTCTTCTTGCCTTCAGGAGTTCGCCGGGCACTGCTTGCCTTTTGTGGACTTGGACAGAATCTGGAGGTCGATGTAGAACATGAAGGTGATGAATTATTAACAACTGGGCGATTCTCCTTCCCTGGCTTGTTTCTTTTACTACTGGCAAATCCTTTCATTAAAGGAGACTTAGCTCTCTTTTTAGCTGACTGAAGCTGCACTCCCTTCCTTCTATTGTTCCTTAGGAGTCGAACATAGAAAGGTTTAGCAGCAGTGTGGCAAGTGAAATTGTCATTCTTGTCACCTCGCTGCAGATCCACATCTCCATTATTCACCTGCACTAGCACATGACAAGTAAATATACTTTCGTTTTTTACTTTTAAAAAATAAAGCTAAAACTACTCGTAATAATCATAGAGGACGTCATGTCCAGCTCAAGCTATAATAGGGAAGCCTTTCCAGGTCATTCGCCTGGATTTGAACTTCATTTGGGAAAAGTCAACAGTGAAACTAAAAAAAAAATTAGTCATACAGAGTTTTACAAAGTTCCGAAAATTAATAATAGAGTTATAACTAGGAACTGTTTTTCCAAAACATGCCTCAATCCGCAACAAAAGGTTGCTACTGCACACATTTGGAAATTGTTTCGTCTACTCTCTACAAAATGTGTACAAGGCGAAAATGAAGAATAATTTTCAATGTGAGATTACCAATTGAAGAAGAGCAGAAAATGTCCGAGCAACATCATGCTTCTCTTGTCCCCTGACAACACCTCCGAAAGACATGGCCTTTCCCTCATCTCCTTCCATAGATAGCTTATCCAGAACTCTGTCACCATATTCATGAATATCAAATGGTGGGCGAGCGTCCTGCCGGGAAACATTATCATTATCTAAGTGAAATTCTAAGAGAGAGAAGGTTTATTCAATGAAAGGAAATAGAGAATATACAGACTTGTTCTTCCAAGTTCTGCTCTATTCTTTGTTTCCATGTTGAAACCCGGGTAGCCAATTCAGTCTGCTTCTCACTCTCGGCTAGACTAGCAAGAAGAGAATCCTACAACATAAGACAGGTTATGCATTGAACCAATCCAATATTATTGTTATTGTAGTAGTTCTTATTATTGTTATTTTAATGTTGTTCATGCTATCCTTTACTACAATTAACCAGACAATGTCACATTTCACCGTTGAAAGTTATCTTCATCAACAATATCCATTAGGTTATGTCTATAAAGGTAAGCTAAAATATATTGATTCTTACCAAGTGAGACCGGCAAAGATCTTCAAGGCTTGCATTAGTACCAGGGTTATCATAAGCTTCATTGAAGTCAAAGGGATCGCCAGCACCATCATGCTGCAAATAGTCAAAATTTGAGTAGCTAGACAAGTATCGAGCTAATTCATTTCTAAGTACGTGCATAATTCATCAGCCTCACATTTTCCTGGTGAGAAGGTACATCGTCTTGACTGTATTTGTTCTCTGGAAAGTCAAAATCAGGTGGGCCGCTATCTGGATCCCCGCTATCATATCCCTGATCTTCAATGTTATCCTCGGGTTCATGAAAGGCATCATTCATTTTATTCCCTCCAAGAACGAGCGATTCCCGAAGCTGCAATTACCAGTTAGATATCATGAGTGAAACAAACTTATGCAGCTAAAGAACCACCGAAAGACCAACCTTCTCGTAAAGTGGGGTATGTGATTTCCCTTGTCTTTCTGAGTTGCCACGTTTTGCTTCCCATATTTCAGTGAGGTCTGAACTTATGGGACCGTTTAATTTTGCAAGAGGAAATTCTTTGGTTATGGAAACATGTTTCCTGGAACCAATCCCTTGCCTTTTATTTGCTTTTACTGCTTGTGAGCAAGGACAAGATCAGAAAGCATTAGATGATAAATAAAATGATACTTCTCGTAAACAAAAATGGAAAAGGAAATATACATTAGAACAACCTTTCTTATAAGGTTTAACTTTCAAATTCCCTGGTTCGTGAGGATTCATAGGTTTCCATGGATCGTCATCATCAGATTCATCCAAGTCCCCTTGTTCAGGATACCCATTTCCCATTTCAGATTCATCATTGTTGTCGTCAGGAAAACCATGGGCAGGAGGGGAAGATCCCACATTGTAGTCATTAGACTCAATGAAAGGATTAATAAAAGGTGAGTGAGTAAAATTGTTATCCGGATTCTTTCCAACTGCCAACTTATTTCCATTTCCTCCAGATTGTCTTATTGGTGACTGAAAGCTCTTATGGCCTTTAGAGGTCAGTGAGCTGCCTCTACAAAAATTAGTCTGCCCTTTGCCAGCTTTACAATCACCATTTAGAAAATCATTAACTGCAACGGCATCGCAAGAGTCAAGCAAAATGAAATCCCGGTAAAGATCGTTGTTGGCTAACTGCAATGATAACAAATATAACAATTTAAGATAGAAATATGCATACCATTGTCAAAAATTCTTAATAGTCATATTATTATACCAGATAGGACTCTAGTTCCCCATTATCACCACCAGCATCAAAGCAATCCCCTTCAAGGACAACTAGATTTGCAGGGACCCTCACAAAGTGACTCAAGGGAGAAACTCTACAGGTTGCACTATCCAAAGAAATCTTTGCTTCCACTGCAATGTAGAATAATCTAAGCCATGAAGACTCTTGCTGACGGTACCACAATCACAAACACAGAAACAACCTACCTGGGATGTCATCTGAAACCCAAAATGAATCATCCTCTTCATCCTTCTCAGTATGTGTACTAGTTTCTTCGGGTCGGGCAGCAGTACTATCTGCTTGATCTTGCTGACTGGTCAAATAACATAACATAGACAAAATAATAAGGCATTGAATGCAATTCATTTTTTTAATAATTGACCTGGAAACCAAATGTTGATTTAGCTATTTATGTATGCTTTGATCAATGTGAACAATGACACTACTGCAAGTAAAAATGAGCCATATTTTTCCAGTGTACAATAATACTTTGAATATTCATTATGTTGCTGCACTAACTGAAAAATGATAAAAATCCTAGCTGACTAACTATTGATTGTATTCAAAAGATCCATCCCATACCCACTCACTTTTGTTCTGAAAAAATGCCCTGTGGTTACAGTAATATTTTATTTAAGTTGAGGAAGGAAAAGAAAATGAACACTTTAGAAGGAGCTAACAAGCTGCATGGTTAACCAAAGTAGAAATACAACAGAAGAAGTGCATAAAAACAATTAAGTTGATGGGAACATGACTCCAAATGCTTAATGTTCATAGAGTTAGCACAAAATTAAGACAACAATCGCAAAAGTTCACATATTTCTGCTAAGCTCTACAAGTAAACTTCTGCATTTCCAAGTATATCAGGCCCAAGAACGAAGAGAATTTTTAGGGATAACAAAGAGTGAGATCCATGTACTAAGGCCAGCTGACAGGAATTCTATCGTTCATGATAGGGATAAGTTTCTTTCCATTACAACATTAACGTCTAAGGAGTTTTAGCTGTGAGTGTAGTTTACCTAAATTATGATATTTGTAGATCACTATGTACATAATGAAGCACTGATAAATGACGTGTAAGAGAGATAGATTTTTTATTTTTCCTCTTTCTCTCTCTTCCACATCATTCATCTGTACACTATTATATACACAATGATGTACAAATAGCATTACTCATGAAATAAAACGTGTAGAACACAATCCTAAATATGTATGAGCTAAATCAAATTTCTTTATAAAGCGAGAACATCCTTTGTAAAGTGACATGAATTTCTGCTAGCAGTCAATCAAATTATTGATAATAAAGAAAATGGAATGTTATTAAATTTTTCCTAAGAAATGTTCTGTGGTATATACCTTCCATTTTCATGTGTTCGTTGGAAGTATCAAACTTAGGCAGCGGTATCTAGAAAATACTTCATGTCACATCCATTTTATGTACCTTTCTGTTTCATATTCTTCTTACATTTATTTAAATCTCCAAGTCAAAATTATAGAGAACGTACGAAAATCAAAAGGCTGGTTCTTTTAACTTTACCCCGTTTATTCCCCACAAGGATCAAAAGTTATTGAAAACATTATATATATAAAAGGCTCAGTTTACAAAAAAAGTTTTCCAAATGGCCTTTTGGATCAACAACTTCAAAATTTGAAGTGTGCTGGCAATTCAATTTTTTCCGTAGTAACCTTGATTCCAGTCCCACCAAAAGCTTCAAGCAATCTCTGTAATTCAATGAAATAATCTGACGCTTTTATTTAATAATTACAATCTTCATGAATAACAAATGAGCCTATTCAGCTGCTTAAGTTTTGATTATAGATATACTTAACCTCAGTTTTCATAGGCAGTAACAATGTCCAAAGATTGGACAAAAAAGTTCTAATGATTATCACACTATTTAGTTTACAAGGATTGGACAAAAAAGTATGACTTTACAAAGTAAGTCCAGGAGAAAATGAACAAGATATTTATGAAAATGAACTACGGGATGAGAAAAATGGGTTGTTTCACACAAAAAATAAAAATAAAAACTTAATGAAAGGGTACCTGCTGCTCTACTGCAGAAACAAATTAAGAATGGAATCAAATACATGTTTTCCCAACTTAACCGAAAACTAAAAGAAATGGGGTGTTGCCCTAAAACCCTGATGTCCCTCCTACCTTTCCCAATCATTTTCCACCTAGGTCTAAATGAATCCCAATAATTGCTATAATTTACCCAATGTCTAAGATTAAAAAATGAATAAAGAAATAAAAAATTGCCATTTTGAAGTTATTCTGACATTATGATAGAAAAAATGTATTTGAGTTCTTATACATGGCACACTAGAATTTGAGCTTCAATAAATCTACTCTGCAAGTGAAGTCAGAATGTAATTTGGAACAAATGAATGTCTGGTGTAATCGAGACATCCTATTATCATATTGAATGAGCGCACCAGATCAACCACCACCACTTTAGTAATCAAATATATCTCATAAGTCAGTCACTAAAATAGAAACTCAAGTCATAAAAGTCTACGAGAGTCAAAATTAAGCTATTGACAGAATTTTAACTGGACAGCATTGTTTACACACAAATATCAGCACTTGGATAAATTTTTCAACTTTGCTACGCAACTCAATTTTTATGCTCGACACATCAACCCTTTAATGGGAGATGGAAGAAACAATTTCAAAGATTTCCTATGTCTACAATGTGTGATTTTCATTAGACACATTCTATACCTTAAATTGCTAGCCAGTATCTTTTTCTAGTTCACCACAAAGTATAAGCATCATCCGTGTTGGGTTTTGATACCCAATAAATCCGGGCTATGATGTTAAATCGGTATATTAGTTGGATAATATTTCATAGGCATCGGCCGATGATTGAAATGATATGTTGACACCACAATCGGACCAATCGAACCACGTAACCCACTGGGCCATTTGAAGTAGCCTAATTGTATTAGTGCTGCTCATGGCCCAACCCGAACTATTTGGATGGCTTTAAGATGTTAGCCCACTTATCCCCTTTGTTATTGGGCCCTAATGTTTGACCTAAAGCCTAAACCTATCCCTAACCTATTTAACGTAAGTTGCTAATCATTCTTAGTGTGTGGAAATTAATTGAGCAACCGTCGTTTGTGAAATTGAGAGCAAAACCGGTTTCTTTGTCCATAGCTTTGTGCACTTGAGCTTTGTGCTCCTTTTGGAGAGACCCATCTTGCTTGCCTTCACTACCTAGCCTTTGTGGCTCTTCCTGTGGCTGAAATTTCTCACCATTAGTCCTTTGTGGGCTGATTAACTATAAGCAACCATAGAGTTTGGGAAGGTGTTGGTTTGGGATTGACTGTTGGTCGATTGTGGTGTTATTGTTGGAGATTTACTGAGCTTGGATATTGATCAATCAAGGGAATAAATCTACAATCCGTTATAGATATATAATATACAAACTTCTATACTAGGCCCAATCATAGCAGCTACCAAGTTCATTCCACTTATTCAGATTCTACCCAAAACATATTCCTCTATTACCTCAAACCTCCTTATGAAGTAAATCTACCTTCTTCTTTGTCCGACTTCCCACCCCTGCTTTATTTTTTTCTGTAAAAGCAAGCTTTGATAATTCAAACTTGCTTGTTCCTACAGAATTGAATAACCTGCATTGATTTTCTTAATAATAATTCACATTAACCTTGAAGTTTCCTCCATTTTTATAACCCAGCAAAAAAATAAAGGTAAGATTAAACATCCTGTAGAAGGATTAAGTATCATATTAACTTCAAATTGATATCTAGCCCCTGTTTGTCTACCATTTTCCAAAAAATTGTTTTCTACAGTAATTAATCTCCACCACACATTCAAATAATAAAATATTCTACACATAAACCGATAAAGTTTCTTTCAATTTCAACCACACATTCTCCAAAAAATACTATTCATTACACCATTCTTTCTCCCATAATGGGAGACAAACAGGGGCCTAATATGAGCAAGTTATGAATTCAGGACCTGAGAAAGAAACTAAATCAAATAGAATAAACCAAGTAAAAAACCAAACCTTTTCTGGGAAATGAACTCCAAAGCATGCAAAACCAAAGAATGCAAATATTCCACCTTTTTACTGTACACCTGTATGGATCCCTGAAGCAGCAATGCAGCTACATATTGCCCCAAAACCAAAAACAATAATAAATAAATAAACCCAACATAAAATTCAGAATGAAGTTTGAATAATAAATAATTTACCTTCAGCAAAATTTACGGACAGGTGGGCATCGTCGTGGCCAGTGATTTCACCGGAACAAATCTTTATCAAATATTCCCCTAAATTCTTGGCTAAATCGACGGTCCAATTCGATTCGAGGTCCCGCAGAGGTTGTATTGTGTGGATGAATTTACCGGAGGAGGATTCCGGTTGTTCGAAGTTACTCATTTTCAAAAATTTGAATTTTACCGTCCATTACTAGTAATTTTTTGTTGGGTGCTAAGAAAATTTGGTTGCAAGAAGGTAAACAAATTACATAAGGGTTTTGAAATTTGAAGAAACTGGATTTGATTTATGAAACTGGTGAGTGTATAGAGATGAATCTGAATCGATCGATACAGATACAGGTTACAGTGTGTGTGTGTGTGTGTGT